ATTTTTTGGAAATTACATCTGGTCCAAAATACAGTGGTGCAAGTAATAACAAACACTTCTTATGCCCATGTGTCATCACTCTTATATGAGTGCACTGTCTGCCAGGCAATGTCCATGTGCAATTCAAAGTGTTGGTCATCGTCTATAATGTCCTTCATAGGCTTGGTTAACCACCTATCACTAATCATTTATGCCCAACTAATATGCAATGGGATACTTTTTCCAAATACCTAGTTCAATATACAAATCCTGTATTTCCTGATGTCTCTTATTCAAGTGGTACCAAGATCTAAACATATTTAGTTCTTTCTGTATCAGCAAAGGTCATCTGCATGCTGCCATAGACTACTGGGGTCCTTGACCAGAAAGATAATCTATAATAAGAAACATGTCAGAGTGGTGCCCCCTATCAAGTTTAAATTATTTTAGACAAGTATATATTTTAACCACACAAACACCACCTACAATTCTTCATACATAAGAAGCTACCATATTGCTAAACCATACCTCCACCAAAAGAAGGCAAATATAAGTGTTCCAGGATAATGTTGCAGGATCCAATCTGGGTCAGTCACCAGGACCAGAGGTTTAGTCTTTCGACCTTTTGGACTTCTGCCGGAGCCCATCCTCAGGAAACTTCTCCCTCCGAGCACACATTCTGGTTGAGAGAGAAATCCCTAGAGGATGATGCAGCCCAGCCTATCTATACTTCATGCCTAAAATCAGTTTATTAAGTGAGGTATATCCATACAGCCTCGAGGAGAAGAGTTAGAAATTTCAGGATAAATTGTTTCACTGTCCAGCTAATCTCATAAAGAATTTTCCAGATGTGTAACCTTTGCCTTTTCTCCTAAACTCATTTGTAGAAATAACCAATCACAGTATTGTTCAGAATTATGATTCTACTAACTTTGACAAATGCAAAGATAAGTATGCTCATTTAACAACCTTTCCCCTTCTGGTGCCTCCAACAGCAATTGGCTAGAGTGCTGGGAATTATACTCCAATAATGTCTGAAGGACAGCAAGCTGGGAAAGGCTACTCCAAAACTCAAGGTTTTAGGAAGCATGAACTGTACAAACATATGTTAAAAGCAGAAAGAAAGAGTGAGAACTACAAACAATACAAATGACAACTTCTCACAAATACATTGTTATAGGCAAATGTTCTTCACCACATTTTCTGCTCAGGCTCGGTAGCTAGCTCTTTGCAGGTAATACAAAGATATTACTGAACAATTACTAAAGTTATTTCCTGAACTTTAGCAAATATTAAAACATCCATTTGGCATGTGATGCTTATTAGCAATGTGGAGATCCAGGCTAGAGAATAGATAAAATAAGGATAGGAATATTTGCAAAAAAAAAAGGTGATTCTTTGAAGAAAGGAAAAATTCTACAATTACCATTTGTAGAAACAATACAAGTTAAAGAGAGAAGAGCAACAGCTTACTAAATTAGCTTTTGAAGCTAAAATACAGGTTTTGTTGAATAAGGGTAGGAAATTGAATATGGAAACAAACTGTTGCAGAAGGGGAGGACATCCCCTAAAACTATAGTATTTAAGGAATATTTAAGTTTGGTTTGCACAACCCAGAATTTCTAAGCACTTTTTTATTATCAAATCTAAGCACAACTGAAAGCAAAGCATGCACATCAACTTTGAAGGGGGGAAAGAGGATGGAAGAAGCCCTGAATCTCTTAACTAACCCAAGGAACCTTCAAAGACAACAAAACCACAAACCCGAGGCAATACACATTTATCTTTGCCTCCATTACCTCGACTGCAAATGCCCCAAACCTTCTGTGGGTGAAGGATGGATCACCACCTACCACCGTAACCCAATCTCAGTTGACCCTTTAAGAAAAACAACCGACGGAACGCAGAAAGAAAGGCGGAAGGCTGTCATTTACCTTTTCCTTTTACAAAAAGAACATCAGGAAGGAATTCGGCATAGATTTGTAAACTTCAGGATGGAGAAGGGAACTGACGGGAGCGTCGTGATAAAGTGTCTGGGGGAGTCAACTCCAAACTTCACATCTGGGGTAGCCTCCCTTAAAACTCCGACCATAAAATGCGAGTTTAAACACAGGGAGGGTGAAAAAGACCTCGGAGGGAGAATGAAGAGCCCGCCTGCTTTCGGACCCTTGGTGGGGAGTGGGAAAGATCACGAGGAACTTAGTAAAGGGCGGCGGAGGGGAGGGGAGGGGAGGGGAGGAGGGAAGCCTCTAGCGACAGGATGAGGGTTGGGTGGCGCCTTTGGGGAGCCGCTGAATAGTGTATAGCTGGGTCTCTGGTAAAGCACCTGGGGAGATTTTACGGCTTGATAGGGCTCAACCGTTTATCAATATGGGCTCGTTCAGAAGAACTGGAGAAGCTTCGGCTCCTCAAGGGTGAAGCTAATTTTATTCGCATTCCGGGGAGGGGGAGGGAGTAAAAACTGACCCGAAACCCAGCGATCTCTGGAGCACGTGAGAACTCCCGGGCGTGCCCGCTGCAAGCAGAACCCGGGCAAATAGTCGGAGCCCTGGGCGGAGGGCAGCGTTCGCCAAGGCGGGTGGCGAGAGGCGGTTTCGGCAGGGGCAAAGTAATCGAGGAGAGAGAAGACGTCCGTCCGTCCCCCTTCCCCGGTTGTCTTACCCTCAGAATAGCGGAAGGCAATCCAGACGCCCGCGACCTCCCTCTCTCAGGCAGCTTTAGCACAGCTTCCTCCAAAGGCGCGGGGCTGGAGCAACTTTGAGGAGAAGCCGCTAGAAGACGTTGCAGGCGGCGCTTGCCTCTGCTGCCGGCGCTCAAGTTTTAACTCGGGTCCCCAGGCGCCGCGAGGAAACGCGGGCGAGCTCTTGTCTGCGGCAGCCTCTCGGCGTTGCGGGGCTGCGGTCGCGGAGCCTCTTTTGCCCAGCAGCCTGAGAGAGCTGGAGTCGCCAGCTGCAGCTAAGCTCCACCGCCCCGCCCCGCCCCCCGGGCCCTTGCGCCGTCCCTTCGTTGCATTGTTCGCGGCTTTCAGTCCCGCGCAAGAAGAGAGCGGGCGCGTCTTGCTTGGCATCTCAGCGTCTGCCCTTTTTTTATTGCTTGCATGNTGACACACCACGCCAAAAAGGTTGCCCATCACTGTTATAGATCATTGGGCCCATTTGGAGGCAATCTGTTGTGCCCCCCCTTATTCTTGATACCTCCATATTAAAAGAAGCATAGGGGGATGTGGTTTCTTTTAAAAAAAAACAATATGGTGGTGACATTCTTGAAGCTTTTGGATGAAAGTCTGTCATTTTTTCTGCTACCTTCTCTTGTATTTTAATCTTATGGTGCTAAAACCTGAAGCAATTATAGGCATACTGCAGAGGTTCTAGACAACTTGCTATGGCCAACTTGCCATGGTCAACTCACAACAGCCAACTCACCATGGCTAACTCACTGAAACCAACTCACCATAGGACAATGTGCCACAGCACAAGAGCTATGCTAATATCAAAGAAATTATGGAATAGAATCATTAAAGGAACGGATGCCAAAGGAGGGACAAGGTGAATGACAAAAATCAAAATAATTTTAATTATTTTAAATAATTAAACTGAATTATTGAATTGTCCTGTGTAGAGTTGTCCCACGACAAGTTGGCCATGGTGAGTTATCCTGCATCAAGTTGGCCATGGTTGTCCCATTCCCTAATTCAGCATCTCATACAAGTATAGAATCCAAGTTTTTCTTTTATTTTTAAAAACTACAAATCACTGAAGTGGTTAAATTGGATTATATTTTTTAATGTATCTCAAGGTACAAACTTGAATCAAACTTTTTAAAAAGTCTCAAATTTCCCATTTGAATCTTGCTCAGCCTTCTATTCATGTACTGCTCATATAGACAATGGTTAACAGAAGTAGATAGAACTAGGACACATCTGCAGTTCCAGCAAAATAAAGTTGGATGGTTTGGCATAAGGGACAATTAGTAGTAGTTGCTGGCACACTCATACTTTAATATTTTGTGCTTAGTGGATATTGTTCATCTGGTCTTTTAAAATGTTAAAATTATTATGCTTTCAATAAAAAAATGTATGTTGACTTTTTATGGTTGCAGATCTTTCTTTCATTTCAGGTATTCAAGTTTAAATTGCCTAAATTATTTTTCTGACAGTAAACTACATTAAATAAAAGCTCAAAGTACTCTCTGTCTCCTAAAGGGAACAATAAAATAAGCAATTGGGGGAAAAAAACTATTTCTCTGATAAGTGCAGCAAAATTATTCTGTGTGTCACTGTGACTATTTGAGCTGGTGTCAGACTATTGGAACCTACTAAGAAACAGAGACTTCCAAAGGAAAGCATTATATTTCTTCCTCATCAGGCTTGTGAATCACAATATGGCAACATGGACATCAAGTGATATGTTTCCAGAAGAAATAATAAAAATACAAATTCTATATATGTCCCCTTTTCATGCTTCCTGGTGAACAACACAACTTCACATGGAGCACTCAGGCTGTTTCCATGTAAATTAAGATTTGACAGACCATCCAATGATGAAAGAAGAGAAGCCCAAGAACCAGCTTTGGATACCATTCCAAATCTAATGTCACAATGCTTTTCTCCCTAATCTTCAATTCCTAAAATGTAAATCTCCTCGTCTTCTAAAAACAATATAAGAAAAATCATTAATAGAAAGCATTTCAGTACCCCGTTTCATTCAATCATAAGATGCTTTATTTATTTTTCTTCCTACAATGTGTGATACCCAAAACTTCCTTGTGGCAACTAGAAGCATCAGCAAAATATAATGAGATAGAAAACCTACATATCAGAGCAAATTCAACATGGGTGATTCAGTACAGTATCCAGTACCTGATCATTAACAGAATATAGGGCTGAGTATAGGGACTAGTCTTACGCAGAGGAACAGTTGGCTGGCAACAATATCTTTATTTATTCAGGCATCATCATATCATGGAGATCTGTGCAAGGAATAATGTTGTATCCCCAATAAAAAGGATACACATGAAAATGTTAGGATAGCAAAAATCCTAGGAAGGAAGGAGGGAGGGAGGGAGGGAGGGCCAAGGAAGGAATTGTTAGTCCTTTAAATAATACATCTAGGGTTATTGGATCCGTACTGCAAAACTCTGGGCTGAAGGAAGATATTTATATATTTATAATTATTCATATTTATACATATAAATTTAATACTAATATTAACAAACATCATTTTCATCCAGGCCTAATTAAGAAGCCTTTAAACACTCCCAAAATAGCAATGCATTATTTTTACTTTGATCAAAAAAATCAATTTTGTATTTTTCTTTATTCTGCAATATATTTAAAGTCCTTTAAAAAAAACCTAACATTTAATTTCTCTTCTCTCAAAATAATTCTATTCATCTTTATCAAGCCTCTTCATGCTGCCAATGTAGCAACTCCAGAAAATCCTTCTTGTAAATTGTATTAGGAAATAATCAAAATCACTCATCTGGTTTATTTTTTTTATTTCTTTTAAAATGTTTAGGACACCATCTTTCAATTGTAAATCCATAAATTCCATCTTCTTGTACTTTTTAATTCCATCTGTAAAGCAGCTTCAGTTTTATTCAATGGAGCTTTATCCTCTACAGTTGCACCAACAGATAGTTTAAAAACCTAATGTTGCAATAACATACATGTTTTTAAAGTATCCATGTGGTGACCTCTAATGTCTAATTTTCAAAGTCTTTTTATCAATTCAGAATATAAACAGAGACTGTTATTATGGGAAAGAATAATTTCAATCAACATCAAAATCAGAAATCAAGTCAATCTGAGTCCTTAATCTGTGTGAAACTTTCCAAAGCCAACAATAATCATCCTCTTACTGTAAAAAAATTTTAAAAAAAAAATCCTAAAAATTAAACTTTGTTGCTTTATTTAAAAAGTGATCAAGAGATGAGCCAGTTAAACCTGGAGTCCATGTAGGTAACACTAATGCTATAAGCACAATGGAATCATATAACTCCCATTTTATCAGAAGCTGACTGCAAAAACATTTTTAGCTGTGGATAATCTGACGGTCTCTCTTCAACTTCAGGGAGATTTCAGTCACTCTGTACCTGCAACTGGGTTGCCATTTCAGTCACACGTCCAACATGTTAGACTTTAGAGGAACATCAGCTCATCATTACAGCTCACTGGAAGTGTATACTGAGACCACACGGCTGACTTTTCTTCTTCCTTTGTCTGTACACGCAGATTGTTGGCCAGTTTAGGCACAGCAGAAAAATGTGTCTGGCTAAAATCTAATGCCTGTGAAAATTTAAAAGTCAGTTTACATGAATTGGATTGAAACTCTTGGATAATTAGCCTCAAAATAAGCCTGTCAGTAACAGAGCACATTCTGTACCCTTAGAACATTCTAGGCGCTCAGAATCCTGCATTTCTACTTAAAGGATCAAGAAGTAGTTTTGAGGAAATCATTTGTTTACATTCCAGAGAAGTTCTGTCAGTCAACACAGGCATGATGGGCCACTGTTCTAACTCAAGGTGTTTGTTTAGTATTAAAATTAGCCATAATAGCTTTTGAAGAATCTAAAATAGGCCAACAATGTAATTTTCAGTTTTTTGTTCAGACCCAATCCTATTTTTTCACAGCTTCTGAATTTATAGAAGCCAGCTGAGGAAGCAGACTAGAGAAAATAAGGTTCATAACAGAGGAATTGGGGACATTATCAACTGATTCTTTAATTACAGGATCACATTGTTTTGCTTTGGTATATATTTCCTATCTTGGTTTCTTTGTTTTCCTCCTGGCCTGAAGATCTAAACCCTAACAGTGGCCATAATCTTCCTTTCTTATACATAATGAAACTAAATATTTTAAAAAATGGAATATTGAAAGTTTCAATGTTTTAAGATAGAAAAAAATTAAGAGAACATATATCAGTTTTGGTATTTGGCAAACTACATCTCTGGGGATCTTGTCACTCACTACCTTTGATGTGTTTCATTCACACCATTGCCAGGTTGCTATGGTTACTTTTAACTCTCCTTTGTCAACCAGAGCAACTCCTGCGTCTTCTGGAGATTCAAGACTAGCTGAGCTCCATGGGTGGCAGCAAAGTTGAAAAGATGCAGCAATAGGGAGACTTGAGCCAAACA